ACCTGTGATCAGGTAAATTTCGAGGACGAAATTTTCTTAAGGGGTGGATAATTGTAACGCCCTGCAACCCGGTCTAATAGAATTGATTAATTTAATTAATTAATTACTGTTCCGGATCGGAGTTGGGAAATTCAAAAGTTCTTAGAAAAATTATTTGATCATATCATTAAATTCGTTTTGACTGTCTGATTCCAGAAACGCAAACGAATCTCAATTCGGACCCGTTCAGGGAAAAAAACGCGTACCGTTCAGGTCAGATTTTACATAACGGAGTAGAATAAAGTTTGTAACCCCCCATGACTTCCATGCGCCACCCTTAACCCATTCAATACCATCACCATTATTTCATAACCATTTCTCTACAATTAAAAACCCCATCTCTCCCTTCATTTGTCTTTCCACTTTGTAACTCCCAAGAAGCACTCTCACTCTCTCTTCCTCTCCCCTTCATTCGACCAGACCAGCAGCAAGGAGGACCTCCGGCGAAGCTCCGGCGGGTGCAAGGTTGAAGGAGAAGAAGGGCTAGGCCGTTCGTGTGAAGCGTAGTCGTTGTTTGTCCGTTCGTTAGCACCATTCGTTCATCTCGTCCCATCAACCCCTTCTTTTAGAGGTGAGTAGTTGTCCCTCTAATTCTAGAACATTTAGTTATAATCTATGTCGTTATATTCATAGGAACATCGTACGCAACCTACGTTGAATCTATGCATGTTCGTATCCAACTTATGTGAGCCCATGTTATTAAGTTATGTACTCGTTAACATAAATGTTTTGGAACCTCGTAAATTCATCGACTACTTAGCGTGGAAATGAAAACATTCAATTTTAAAAAAAACTTCCAACGTTTGATGGCTACAAACAAATAAAATGGAAATCAGCGTGCCTTGATAATCGAGTTACAGGATAGTATAATCGATTATCAGGCCACGCCGGACTCCTCAGTTGGTTCAGCACAGCGTGACAATCGATTATCCCATATGTGATAATCGACTATCAGGCTCTGCGGATTCTTGGGTCTGAGTTGGCTTCACTGATAATCGATTATCACCCAGACAAATCGATTATCAGGTCTCTCTGAACTTAGGACTTTCCAGATAAACCAACTTGACAATCGATTGTCATAGGGTGACAATCGATTATCACGGTCTGCAGGACTTTGGGGACAGAAGCTGCACATCATGATAATCGATTATCAACAGCAGATAATCGATTATCAGCCAGTTCCGAACCCAGGGCCATCATGTTGAACAAATCGTAATCAAACACATATGTATGAATTGAATTTAACTCTATTCTTTAATCAATGTATTCATTCCATCATGTTCGTTCTAGACGGATGTTCTAGGTTTTCATCATGTGCATACCGCTGTAGGGAGGACTTCATGCGCCTACTACAGTGGGCCCGTCCAGGAACCTTTGGGGACCAACGGGTTTTCATCATGTTGGGCTTGTG